TAATAATAATAATAACAACAACAACAACCAAAGTAATATTGCCGATGAGATAGCCGAGATCGCTAAGGCAGTGATGTCGTAGAGGTTTCGTATCAGAAGATCGCGGGTTCGAGTTCCGCCACGGGTATGGATGGATTTGTGTATGTATGTATGTATGTATGAGTGTGCCATCCTTTCACCCCTTATTATCATCATTTCATCTTCCATACCCACAGGGCTAACAACCCTGAGGAATAAAAATTGGACACAGCTAAATGCTGGTTCTCAGTTAAAAAGGTTACATGCACCTGCCACCGCGATAATGATAATGAGTGCATATCAGAGTGCACGCATGCGTGGTCTTACTCGGCCTATTCTGCGAGCAAAAAAATAATAATAATAATAACAACAACAAACATTAGTTCTGCGAATCTGAAATTCATATTTTAATAATTTATAATTATAATTTATTTTAAATTATGCTTATTTAAAACAGGCAAACTGTCGGGAAGATAGCCGAGATTGCTAAGGCAGTAATGTCGTAGAGATTTCGGACCAGAAGATTGCGTGTTTGCGTTCCGCCTCGTGTATGGGTGTATTGGTGTATGCATGTATGAGCAAGGATAAAACATGGTACATTTCTAGAGACTATTTATTATGAAACGAAAACATTTAAAGTTAGTAATTAAATCTACCTTAATGCTTATTTTACGTGTCAAGCTTATTTAACTTTCAAAAACTGTACAAAGGAATCGTTGTTCCTGTCAATACTGTTTTCTTTCCCCATCAAACGCCTTCCTTTTCGAGCTCGTGACCACGACAGTCGTCGGCTCTTCTCCTCTGGGTGGCGTAAGGGGAGAGGGGACTAAGCTTAGGTTCTTCCCGACAGTTTACCTGTTTGAAATCCCTTGCGGCTCTCAGACCGGCCCAAACATAGTCAGTGAGATACGCTCCCCCTGCTTTGGGGATTTTAAGCTGATCATTCGGCAATTACTACTGCCAGCATTAACACGTTTTATTTGAACGCAGGGTACAACAAGCAATTGAGGAATGGATGTACGACATCGTCTTCCAACGCCACTACTGGGTCACCATTCCAGACGGTTTAAACCAACTGTACCGCACTGGCAGATCAGGTCAGGAAGCGTCCAAAGAAGAAGGAGACCCCAGAAGACCACCAAAGCGACCAATTCGTCCTTCGTGCCCGTTCAACATGAATACACCGCAGAGAGCTGTAAACCACATGTTAGGCAAGAGTGCTGTGGAATTTGTTCATCAGAAGTAAGAACTATAATTTATTTTTCTTTTAAGGACTGTTTTGTTGGTGAGATGTTGTTCGCATATAAGTAAAAATGAAAGGATTTCATTAAATGAATACTTTTAAGAGGGTAGATATAGGAATTTGGGCAATAACAGAATTTTCTTTTGAGTTACAAAACAAAAACGAACTAGTGAAATCAGTAAACTTAAGCGCGGGTGTAATCTTTTGATTTCTTACGAGCCCCTTTCCATTTAAAAGTCGGATATTTTCATTTTCCTTTATATCAATTGGAAGATTGGTTAAAGTCGCAAACAAGTTATTATTTTATGTCAAAAATTATATGAAATGTTTAAAATCATCAGAATTTCCAATGCAATAACTGAATCTTCCCTCATTCAATACTTTGACAACAAACATTCAGACTATCTAGACGTGCTTAGCTTGTCGAGAAAGAGAGCACATGCGTACGGAAGTAATTCCCACCTTTCGCCGAAGCATGCCGAAGGGGTACGAGGACTGGTCGTACGGCGAGGCGAACCTCATCATTCCGGGCGACACCTACGAGGGCCCCGCGCGAGAAGACGCCCAGAACGTGAGCGACCCGCCGCTGCGCGAAATGGCCGAGATCCAGCTGCGCCGCCACACCCTCTTCCTGCACATTCTGCGCTGCAACGGGGCGGTGCTCCCCCACGTGCGCCCGGAGCACTTCTTGGGGTACAACATGTACAGGGAGCTCGTCATAGGTCAGCACATTCGTCTTTCATGTCTTCGAACTTTCTCAAGGGAAACATTACAAATGAACATCTTTTTATTACAATTACATGAACAAATATTTGAACATGTATTTATTACGAATACACAGGAATTTGGTTTAGAAAAAAGTCTGAGATTTATACACTTCTAGATGTATCTTTGCTTTTTAATAGGAATGAAACGTTAATGTAACGACCGTTTATCTGCCATCCTTTGTTCATTTAAGCCATTTTGAAGAGCATTCCTACATTCGTGATCGTTTAGTTTTGCGAGTTGCAATCTATTAACGGTTCGTTGACATGCAATACCCAGCGAGTGTGAAGCTAGCTAACGGAGTAGAGCGATATTTTTAACATTAAAGAGTAATGGGCGTCTTTAAATAAAAAAAAATGTGGTTTATATTAAGGTAATGTCCAGAATCCGACGAACATGTGTCTTTACAAAAAGGTTTCAGTGAATCGGAATATATGTAATACATTACGTTTTCTAGTGAAGGTAGTAAGATTTCCTGGTTTATAGTCACAATAATCATATATACTAGAGACCTTGTTAAATACGTAACATTTGAGTAACATAATTTAAAAATCATGTTTAATTGTGTGTTCACAGTGAATTTCATTGTTTAAGAAACTCTCTTCTTTAGTTCTTAGTCCTGGTAAAATCGAAAACACTAAAAATATTTCTCCTATTGAACGATATGAAATAGTTTCTGGGGGGGGCGAGATTATCTGTAACGTGTTTATTTCTGCTGTAACATTTCCATAGCACTCCCTTATGCGTGATGTAGTCGAAAGGACCCAACATAATACTAATAAAATTCCAAGTCGTATAGCGTGGCTTCGCGACGTGGAACTCCCTGAGGCGTGGATGTCCGGGTTCCTCTCCCCACGACCGTAGCTCGCAGCACACTCGCTCACGTAGTCTCCGTAGTGCCGACCGCGTCGAACCCCCACTGTGCTGTCTGGAGTGGTAATGCCAGAGCCCGGCAACTCTCCATCAAAATTGGGGACAAAGCTAGAGATTGCAACTATAGGATGCAATAGTGTCGCCGGATACAGCTGCTGGTAAGGCTCGCCAACTTTCGCACATAAAAATTGGTCAAGAAATACGAATACACTTTGATTATGAGGGATTTCTGAAATAAATTACAAAAGAAGTTAAATACTGTCTGTATTCTAAATAAATTTAGAAGATAAAGACATAGTATTTATCTTCATTTATTTATGATCATACACTCATGAAATAAAAGGTAGCGCGAACAGCGGCGCGATCGTTTGTATCAAGCGCGTGTGTTAGCGTCCCGAGAACCACGCACGTTTTAAATAACGCTGGTTGCAGTTCGTATTTTAGATCGTGATGCTCTAGAGCGTACCACTGTAATAGTCCCCCACCACGTTATATGGGGGTTATAGGGCCCTGGGTACTGCCCTCTTGGTGCCGGAAGGCCCGTTTTATATCGGGCGCTGCTGTAGGCGGAGACTCGAACCCTGCCACGGCATGATCCGCCCCAGCTGCTGCTTCCCGCAGCCCCCGAGCGCACGCTGTGCAACGCATGGCAAGTTCAAATTATTGCCGAACATAACAGTACCCATGCTTCATTAACACCATTTTGTATTGCGTTTAAAGGGGATTTATAGGAGGCAATAACAAAATTGCTACATTTGCAAATTTATAAACAATTTCCCACTTTTATAGATCTAAAGAAGGGAGAGGCTTCCAATGTCTCAGAGCCGAAAAGAGCGAATCAAAAAATTTGCGACAATTTACAATTTTATGAACAAATATGCACTTGAACGGTCGGAAATAATTCGCAACTTGTGCTCGAGACGAACAATGTAATGCAACAGTTTGACAGAGTTACAATTTGATTGCTAAAATATCGTAAAATTGTTGCTAAAATGCTAAATATTTACTAGTCTATTGACAGTAATTCTAGACGGAAAAGCTTCGCACAGAAATATTTTTTTCGTTATGGCGCACGTGCAGACAAAATCTCTCCTTCGACAGGGAAAGATGACATTTTCGCCTTATACATATGCAATCTGCCCCCCGCTCCCGGGAACAGCGTCTTTGCAGCCCCATGGTAGTTTTGCGCCAATCACATAGGCACAAAAGGCTCAGCAGTACGCTCTGAAGAAGGCCACAATACGCTGGCCGAAACGTTAGCCACGATGTCAGTGACGGGGCTTGTGTCGGATAGCCTAGACAACACGAACTCCGGTCGCGGAAGCCTATGCAACCACATAGGCACTAAAGCTCTGACTGTAGCCATTGGTCAATGCACCCCTCTCCCGGAACGAAGGGTGTCCAAGTTTGTCTGGACGATTCGGATGATCTAATTGCAATCGCCAGTTATTGCGGGGAAAACATTACTTAAAATACCTTCAAATTAAATGTTTTGATAACTCAAAAAATGACTATAATTAAGAGCTCGCAATTTCGCATTTGCAGTTGCGCTTAAACGCTCTTTTAAAGATTTTTTAAAAAGGCTCCTAATTTTTGTCAAAAAAATTACCATTTAGGACGAGGTTTTACTGTTCTTTAATATTCTTAAAATAATATTTCTTCTCTACAATTAGGAAACCGAAATATAAAGAAAATGTCAAAAAAAAGTACTTTCAGCAGCGATAGATGGGAGCAGGCAAGAATTTGTATCAAGTTCGAATAGCTAACGGTAACCAAAGGAAATAGAAAACGAATACGGAAAAGTCTGTGCCATTCTGTAGCACCACTAGATTTTCTATTTCATTTGGCCTTGGCTAGATACACGTACTTGCCACATATTCTTAACTGCTGCCATCTACCGCCGCCCAAAGGACATTTTTTTAAAAATTTCTTAACTTTTCGGTTTTCTAATAGTATAAAAGTATTATTTTAAAAATATTAAACAACAAGAAAACCTTGCCCTAAATGTCAACTTTTTTGAAAAAATCAACTGATATAAACCAATTACACTAGTGAAAGCTTTGAAGAACCTCTTGTACAATAAATGGAGTATCTTTATATGATATCATCACAATATTTGGACCTCACGTATACTCATGGTGTAATCTTTCCGTTAACTTTTTAACAACCACTAAGGGGCACACGTAAGCTATAGTCGATTTTGCATCAATCTGTTTTCAAATCATATCTTCAACCTGCTCTCGATAGGTATAAGGGAAAAGAAACAATTTGTTTATAAAGGGTGTAGGGTCAGTTGAATCTAAAAACCGCTTCGAAATTAATTCAGAGGGGTTTTGACAGCATTCTGATTTTCATCAAGAAGTTTAATAATCGATTCTCTAGTCAGACTTTCCGTAGTCAAGCTTTGTGCTTCTAATTTAGCTAATAACCACTTCTGGAATTATTCGATAATAAAACAGTATTGTAGTCAACTATTCAATCTTCACATTAGTATTTCTTTAGAGAAGAGTTGCAAATTGATTGCTAAATACTTCATTTCATTATTGCGCTAATGTTAAATATTCACTGGTATATTGGCTCCAATACATGAACGAAAATACCCGCTAACAAATATTATTCCGTCATGTATGTATAAGCAAAATCTGCCGAACAGAGACAGAGATTATACAATTTTCGCATCTTACGTGATTAAACGAGGACCTGAAGAATTCAGGGAGGAGTCGGGAATTAATCTTTGCCGGGTATTTAGCCTTTGTTCTTTTACATGCCGCAAGCAGGGCGTGAAATCCCCTTCGAAAATTACATCTCTTGAGGACACTAGTAGGTGAGATGCCAGCAAGCTCACCTCACGCCTATCGATTGCGGATTGCCAGCAGCGACATTCTCTACAGGCAGACTGGGAAACGAGTTTGGTGTTTCAGCCTCCGAGAACAGATCGCCAAGCGAAGATACGGACTCCGCAGCATCGCCCACGAGTCGCCTCAGCTGGCGGGATATGGCGAAGCAATGGAAGACCCCGCTGCTGAGCGAAGAGGCAGACACGGGCCTGACCAAGCCGCTGGACCTGGGCCTGACGGTGCCAGGCCCCATGCTGTCCCGCACGCGCCACCGCCAGCTGTCGCGGCAGGCCTGGCTCGACACCTCGCTGCAGTGGGCGCGCACTTTCTGGCTGCCCAGGATCGACACCGAGCACTACCTCTCGCAGTGAGTACCCGCATGCGAACGATCGGTTGGTGTATGCGTGTTTCTATCCGCGAAATTGTTACTGACATTTATCTCGTAAGTGTAGTGAATGTTTAATGTCGAGCGGAGGCAGTGATAATCACCCTCTGGATGATGAGATCCGGCGCTGATTTACATGTCGAATTTTGGGGTGGTCTCCCTGGAAGTGTTGTGGTGCAGTGAATGTGAGTGTGTTTGTAACTAAAGGGGTGAGGAAAAGACAAGAGGAATGGAAAATCGCACGCGGCATGGCGAGTTGTTTAGGCGCTTTGCCATGCACCATGCAAAGTCGGTTCCTAGGTAGCGCTGTGGCGTCATGCAAAGGTAGTACCTAGGTAGTGCTATGGCACAATGCAAAGAAAGTACGTACGAATAGCTATGTTCCATGGAAAGGCAGGGCCTATGTAGTGCTTTTTGCGCCACGCAAAAAAAGCACTATGTTCTACATAAGGATAGTGCCTAGGTAGTGCTACGGCGCCATGAATAGAAAGTACGTAAAAAAGCGGTATGTTCTACGTAAATATAGTAGTGCTACGCCGCAACACATAGAACGTACGTAATAAGCGCAGTATTCTACGCATAGGTAGTGGAAAGGAAGCGCTATGGCACCATGCCAAGAAGTACGTACGAGTAGCTATGGTTAATGCAAATGCCGGGCCTAAGTAGTGCTTTGGCGTCACGAAAAACAAGTACGTAGGAAACGTTATGATCTACGTAAAGATAGTGCCTAGGTAGTGCTATGGCGCCATGCAAAGAAAATACGTGAAAAGTGGTATGTTCTACGTCAAGGTAATGTAGTGCTTAGGTAGTGCTACGGTGCAACGCATAGAAAGTACGCAGGAAGTGCTGTATTCTATGCATGGGCAGTGATGTGGAAGTGCTATATCGCTATGCAAAGAAAGTACGTACGAATAGCTACGTTCCATGCAAAGACAGGGTCTAGGTACTGCTTTGGCGCCACGCAAAGCAAGTACGTAGGAAGCGGTATGTTTTGCGTGAAGATAGTGCCTAGGTAGTGCTACGGCGCCACGCATATAAAGTACGAAGGAAGCGCTGTATTCTACGCAAATGCAGTGCCTAGGAAGCGCTGTGGCGCCATGCGAAGCGGGTCCGTCCAGGGAAGCGTTCCGGACGTCGCGGCGCGTGTCGGTGGTCGGGGAGCTGCAGTTCCGCTCGCGCCAGTACCTGGTGGGGTCGGCGGCGCACTACAGCGACCAGGAGCTGTGCCTGCTGGCGTGGCTGAACGAGCGCTACGCGCACGCCTGCCAGACGCTCGGCGACCGCGTCAAGGCGCCGCCGCAGCGACGCAACATCACCAACTTCGAGAACGACCTCGCGGACGCCGTGGTGCTCGCCTACGTCACGCTCGATGCCTGCCCCTACGTCCTGGACTTCATGCCCGACATCTTCCCGCAGCCCGCCAACCTCGAGCAGGTGAGCTGCATCGCACTCTGGCATGCAGTGCAAAATGATAGTGGCACAAAATTTAGAAGAAACGTGAACAAAACGTAGATAATAAAAAAAGAAAACTTTATATTTAAAATGATATTCTGCCAAGTCCTCGTGTTCGTATCTAATCAGAACAAATTATTTTGATCAGATGGTTACTGTAGGCTTTCTAGATAGTGTTCGAGTTCCGATTCTGGCATATTATCGACACTAGCTAGATCAATCTAATGTATGCTTGTACAGTATACTTATATCAATGATTCAATTGTCTACCAGGTTCATAGGGGTGGACGATTTGAAGCTCTTCTTTCGTTTCAAACCACTGCAGAAATCATCAGCGGCGGTGGGAGAATTGTCGGAGACCGTTTCTGGCGCGCTGCTGGATGACTACAGATTTTCCAGAGATTCTCATTCTTACACAAACATACCCTTGCACTTCTATGGACATTTCCACCACATATGTATCGAAATTAATCAGGAAACTAGAAACTAGATTCGAGCATTTCCCGTAAGAGGCGAGGTGTGGGAAGGAAACCCCGCAAGCCGAGATGTGAGGAAGCAACGAAAATCGCCAACCAGCGGCGGAGAAACAACAGCACCTCCCAGGATTGTGTAGGAGACTACTGACCCATGTAGTTAATGCCACCGAAATTATTGCTCCCCCATTCCCTCTTGACGTCTTGATGAGTTCCACATCATGATACATTTCTGAAAACGCTACGTTCAGGTATATGACATGTATTACACCATAGTCATAGCCACACATCAGGATGGAATGGATCAGGGCATCAACTGATGTCACTGCCGTTACTCTAAACGGTAGATTCCAAGGTTTTAACCGCGGTGGCAGATGAACAGATAGATAGCTAGGTCAAATTCTGCCGCTGTCAGGAGGAGAATTCTAACGGCTGGCTGCTCTGATCGATAGTTATTCTTGTTTTCTCCCATCCACACTACGTGAATGCTGGAGCCTAACAAACGGGCCATGGACCGAAGGTGATATTTCCTTACTCTTCCTTGTCCAACGTTCACCCTCTACTTACTCACACATACATTTACACTTACGTGTCGGGAGACCAGGGGAATATCTCCGACACCTTCCTAGATAAAAAGCATCTACTAGACTTACATAGATAATGACGTTAGCAATTTACGCGCCCGAAATCACTAATCAATCAATGAATCTACGAAATAATCAAACAGTCTACACGCCTGCAAACACAATCTACCTTACTCCTTGTATGGGTGTGCGCAGGCGCAGCACAACGCGGCGCGCGCGGTGGCAGTGTGGACCAAGCTGCGCCTGGGCTTCACCGTGTGCGTGCGCGACCTGGTGCGGCCGCTGGCCGTCAAGATGGTGCTGCTGGTGGCCTTCCTCTACAACGTGCTGCCCGTCATGTCGGCGCGCGCCTCGATGCGCCTTACCGCGCCGCTCTCCGACCGCGCGAGGGTACCTAGCGCCACCCAACTAGGATGCGACGTCGGCCACCGAACATCGACGTTTCTAAATATTGATGGTCAAAATTACAGTTCCATCAATGTTATTAAGCATCTATGTTTTTTGAATTGAATTGAATTGGCCTTATTTTACGTGGCGAGACTCGGGCCATCAGGCCCGCTCTTCCGTCTGACCACGCAAATTTCGCAACGCTCCTTTCATCAACTAGCAGAGAAAGCAGGTATTTTTTGGGCGCGAAACAGGCGATTTGAATTTAGCTCAGAGGCGTCATTTAGGCTTGAAGATCTTTTACATGCGAGTAAATCTACTAACATGGGACATGGCTTGTTTTAAGACGGGATTAGTAACCACTGAAGTTCACGTGAGTGGAAGGTTAATTTAAGATGGTCTCGTTTATTAATTGTAATTAAGAGTTATTGGACACAACAAAGTTGAAAATAATCAGGATAATTAACAACACAATTTTATTTTCGTGTTAGATAATTCAAAAGTAATGTTAACGTATCGTAGGTCCAATTTAGTCGGTGTTTGGAGGAGAGTTATAGTGACTGGCTGCTCTGATCAGTAGTTTTCTATTATTTTTTTTCGATCAACATCAGGCGAATGTCGAAGCACTACCCTAACAAACGGTGAACGGCCTGCGCGCTATCGTTCCTTCCTCTTCCTTGCCCCATCCGCACCCAAACACACACATACATTAACATGCACTACACAAGCACACGTGCCGGAAGAATGGTCGGCAGATTAGAGCGTGTCCCGGCTCATAATAGCATTCCTTACCTTCATTCGAAATCAGAAGAAAATGAGGTTGGTTGCCATATGTAAATGGCCGAGCGCAGCATATTAAAATAAAATACACGAGACCTAGGCCGAGAGCCAACTTAATGTCTTGATACTGTGTTTTTTTCAATAAACAAACCCGAATAATACAATGAAAATTATACTAATAGTTAGGCATTCCCGTACAAATCTTTCACAACCTTGAATCTTATTTCCGAGTTCTAATATCTCTAACACTGCAGGGCGGCATGGTTATATACCTTAACGAAGCTGTGTTTCTGGCTGTGTTGATGTTCTTGGCGTATAATGTAGTGGGTTAGACATCTGGGGGGCACGGATCTGTGATGTAGAGTTACTAAATTATTTTGAAGAAATTGTGGTGTTTGAATTGTATGAGGTTATATCGTGAAACATCACCAATATATTATTAATCTAGTTACAGGAAACAAACTTCAATTTACAGTTCATTTGACCAATCGTTCGTTTATGTTGGAAAATTAATTTGTATTTCAGAGTTGACATTGTACATTCATTTTAGCATCTGTAATGGTTTTGATAACTTTTTTGCACTTGTGCAGATATTTAATTTTCACTGGAGAGAAATATTCTATTTGGAAATTTTTGTGCTGTTTGACTCGTGATCTGCAATGTTGACAGATTTTCAAAAATTCTTTATTATATATGTGTATTTTATTATTCATCAAGAAATATCTACATGAATGTGGATTACAGCTGTAAAAATACTCAGTTTAAAAAATCAGGCATGTCCTGTTTCCAATAGTCTTTCATAAGTTCCTTTATTCTTAAATACGTGTGATTATGGCATTGAAAAAATATTTAAGTTGTTTGTAATCATTGTTGTTTTAACTAATTCGACATGTGTGTGTAATAAAATAAATAAAATATCTCTCATTAGACGTGATCAAGTCAGTTAGGCATTGTTGAAAGATTGAAATATTTGCTTTGTTTCTTAAGTCTTCTTAGTGATGTCAAAGACCTGAAAAAAAATTTCACTAATATATATATATATATATATATATATATATATATATATATATATATATATATATATATACACTACTTGCTAATAATATTATAAGCAAACAAATATATAAATAAATGTAAAAACTAGTGCTGCTAAAACAGCACATACTCACTCGCCTCTTAGTAACGGTTATGTAATAACATTATAACGCATTTCTGTCTGTATCAACCCATCTCAATCGATCAGAACTGCCAACAAAGTGTTCATGCAGCGATGGACGCTGCCAACAATGGTCAAATATTTTTGTATCAATTCTTCCTAAAAGCGTCACTTTTTGCCATAAGTGGAAGATGGTCCGTAGTTGGTGTGAAAAATGTAATTTATTTCAAGCAAAATTTACGCAAAACTGCTAAATTCATTACCTTTTTTGAAGAGATAATTTTATACAACAGACTTTACTTGAGGCAAAAACCTGTCTTAAATATTGTAATTTTTAAATGTTTTTTTACTTTTCAAAAAACGAACAATACCCGAAAATATGATCTCGACCAGGTTTTTTATCGTCTCTTATAACATAAGTGAAGAAAATTTAAAGGAAAATTTGGGCGATTTTTTAGACTTTTTTTGTAAATTTCAATCGCAAAATTCACAAACACTATTTATTTTTTCAAAACATTTCACATGGTTTTTTTATTAGTTGATTTTGTACTGCAGACAAAAATATCTATCTCCAATTTTGAAGTTTTAATTTTTTTCCAATGTTCGAAAAATCGGGGATGTCAGCGAAAATGAGATCTGCACTGCTCTCTTAACTTTTTTTGCAATATTTTACAACAAAATTAATCAAACATTTAGAGCCTTTTTTGAAAATTTTGAAAATGTTCCAGATGCGTCATGTAAACTTTACTTGACTTTACATGACCAAAAATGAAAATACCGTCAATTTCCAGACACCCGTGGTACTACCTATGATTATTCCACTCGTGAAATTAAAACTAGTAGTGTTTAACTACACATACAAAATGCCCCTATCAGTGCGGTGTATCTCAAAACATTTATCGCCTTTTCTATCGGTACGCAGGTGACCTTGGGGCTGGTGAACCCGTCCTCCTACCGCCTGCACTACCTGGCCGAGTTCCTGGGCGAGGCGGGCTCTTTCTTCTCGGTGCTGGGCGGCGGCGCCGCGCCCGCCCCCTACGCGGGTGCCGACGCCGGCGTCGACACCTCCGGCGTCTACATCACGCTCAACCCGCGCCAGCAGCTCAAACTCTCCGTCGAGTTCCAGTCGCGCAGCTTCAGCGCCCAGAGCTGTGAGCTTCCTCGCTCTTTCAGCTGACTCTCGCGAATAGGGCAGAGCGCGCGAAAGCCCGGGCTCAACACGGGTGGCCCGACGATGAACCAAATGAGAACTAGTGGTGCTATAACATCAAATTCTTTCTCGTATTATTTGTGACTTTCGAATTAAAAAGAATAGAGAGTTCAAAGCCATTTGGACGTGCGACATTTTTATTAGCGTACTTTGCCCTATACGAGAAACAATTAGAGAACAAAAATTGGAGCTGATTTTTGAGAAAATATTGTTTTAACATGGGCTTTATTTCACGCTAAAATAGTGAAAACTATTCATATTTTGCTAAACCTGAACTTGAACTCGCTTTATGATCGAGTTTTGGAGATCTGTTTTCTTTAAGAACAAAAATATATTGTGAATATAGTAGCTGTATGACTCCGTATGTAGCGGCTGACGCCGCTACATATTGTAGAGCTGTATGTAGCGGATGACGCCGAAAATAATTTTAAAAATATTGAAATTTTCGAACACGAAAATTGGACCATTTATCAACGCACGTTGCTTTATTAGAGACAAGAAACTAATGAAAACTAGAATGGCACATTCTTATACTAGTTGATTTCTTATCTTTTTAGTCTGGGATATATTTTTAGTGCTGCTGAAACCTCTTTTCAGCTAGCTTCTATTGATGCCATAAAGTCTTTCTTTCTGTTCTCTCAATTTCCCCCGGATTCCTAATGTCAAATGTTGAAATAAAACAGAAGGGTAAAGCCTCGTCCTACATCTAGAATTTTATTGAATCATTTTGACCTGCTTTTATGATAATGTCCTTTGAAAATTTCTGATAATGTGCAGTACGTTGCTTATTCTTACCGGAGTCTTACCAGTATCCGACAAACTTATCAGAAATTAAAATTCAAATTTGAAGCAATTGTACTCATAAATGCAGTAATGTATAGGAAATGTCGATAATAAAAAACTCAAAGTCAGAAATATTAAAAAATATTTTCTTGTTATTTAAAAAAACAAAAGAATGCATCAAAATTGTATTAATATAATATTAATATTGTATCAGTACAAAAGATCTCTTAGGAATCTCTTAGAGCCGTGTTTGAAAAAATTTCCAAAATGTCCCAGGACCTTTATTTAAAGTTCTATCAAATTTTAAAGAATTATTTTTCATAATCAAAGAGTTTCGAGTCGGGCCAGATCGCACAGGGAATATTCATTTTAGAACAAAATTATTTTGTTTAGTTTAGCGCTAGTTTTGATCACTGTATTGTTGGCATAATAATGTACGAATCCAAATCTCACATTTCCTATAAATTATGTCTTCACCCTTAATGGGATCCTGAAGGGTAAAATAAAAATAAGAAATAAAATTGTTCACAGACGAACGGACAAAAGTATGGTTACCATTGATTCTACGGAATTGAACAAACTTTCCGGTATTTGTTAGTTTCCTAATCTCTTCAGTGTGGTTTTTTGGTTTTGTCATAACCTCTTCTCGGATAACAACTAATTGGGTCTAAAAACATTTTTTTACATTTTTCCAAGTTTTCGGTTCCCTAATCGTAAAGTTGAAATATGCCTAAAATATTATAGAACAGCAAACATCTGTTCATATTGCAAGACTTTAGAGCAAAATGTGAAACAATTTTTTAAAAATATCGTTTGTAGTGTTTCTGAAAAAAATAAGCGTTTTGAAACCTATTTTCCTCAAAACTTTTGTATTTTCAAGAAATATTATTTAATTATGTCCACAATGTAAATACAATTACAATGAAAGATATGAATAAAATGTGACGTGAGCCTTGCTAGGCTTGATATGAATATAATGTGACGTGAGGCTTGCTAGGCTTGATATGAGTAAAATGCGACTTGAGACTTGCTAGGCTTGATATGAATAAAATGTGACGTGAGGCTTGCTAGGCTTGATATGAATAAAATGCGACGTGAGACGTGCTAGGATTGATATGAGTGAAATGCGACGTGAGGCTTGCTAGGCTTGAAACGAATAAAATTCGACGTGATGCTTGCTAGGCTTGAAATGAATAAAATGCGATGTGAGGCTTGCTAGGCTTGATATGAATAAAATGCGATGTGAGGCTTGCTAGGCTTGAAATGAATAAAATGCGACCTGAGGCTTGCTAGGCTTGAAATGAATTAAATGCGACGTGAGGCTTGCTAGGCTTGATATGAATAAAATGCGACGTGAGGCTTGCTAGGATGGATATGAATAAAATGCGACGTGACGCTTGCTAGGCTCGAAATGATTAAAATGCGACGTGAGGCTTGCTAGGCTTGAAATGATTAAAATGCGACTAAATGGGGCTTGCTGCGCCAGGCGTGCTGCTGCTGAGCGGCACGATGCAGGCGACGCGCTTCGGGCGCTCGCTGGCGCTGCGGCTGGAGGGCCAGCCGTCGTCCATCGCCGTCAGCGCCACCGTGCTCATCCAGGCACCGCTCTACAAGCCCACGCAGCACACCATCAAGCTGCCGCTGCCCTACTCCAGCTTCTTCAACGCAGACCAGCTCCACGACTTCCCGGAGTTCGACCTCTACCTCACGGAATCCATGCCCTCCGTCGAAGGTGAGCCCTGCCCTCAGCTCAGGGGGTTCAGCGACGACATCATCGGTCGGGAGGACCGGGTCCAGGACGAGATAAACACGATTCGTTAGGTAAAAAACTATGAAACCCGTGTAAATCCTTCGGTTCAATTTCACGATAATGCTGCAGGAAGTTTCAGAATAAAGAATAAAATCGGCTGCCGGTGGTTATACAAATGAAGGAAATGGGCTGAAAAATATAAATCTATCCCAGCAAACGCATCTGAAACATAAAAAAACTTTGTAAAAAACATATCAACCTCATATTAAACAGAACTCTCAGCAATAAAAAACAAATAGTGTTTTTCAACATGGTCTCAAAGTAACGATTTGAAGACGAATCTCTGGTGCAGTGAAAAGCAGAGTGCCTACTTCCGGTCGAGAGAATCAGTCTGCCATGCGCAAACACATTTTTATTTGACCGAAAACGAATTTAATCTGATCGTACTACTTGATGTTTCTATGTCCGTAATTTTTTAAAAATTTACTGCCTTTATTTTGGAAACAGTTGTCTACCTCCGACACGGGAAGTATTGTTGGATATTTTTAAATTTGGTGTAGTAAGAATGACCTACGTCACTATAAATTTCTCTCTCATTTTCACCGCCAGTGTGCAGGGTCTGTCATGACTATTCAGTATTTGTGTTGTTCCCTAACTGAATGAACACGAGATCTTATTAGAATGGAACTGTTGGAGACGTAAAGTTTATCGCCCCTTAGTCAGTTTTTACCCCTTCAAGAGTCACATGATTACGCACTGAAAGATTTCCGCTCTGTGAAAATTACCGTCACACCCAGATTTGTTTCCACGTTCGATTTAACATGCCATTGCATTGACTCTCATACTACCAAGGCCATCTCTGCACCGGAAAGTTATGTGGATATCTCTTTCTTACCGATGGGCTAAAAGGCTGGACATTGGAGTGTCGTCATGAATTTCCAAAACAGTGGGAGTTGTTCGATTCCCTCAGGTATACGGTGACAAGCGTTCAACACACCGCCCGACAACAAGTATCGTGTAAATCAATTTGACACCGGCGGGCCTCGAATGTAGATCTGAATGTGCGCCCATACGCTGCAGCTATCCGACAATTGTGCACATCCGAACGTGCTCGGGTTCTGTTTAAGTTTCATTGCGGTACTCCGACAAATGTCCAATTTGGCCCGTTCTGTTTTACATCGTCACAACGAATCATTTCAACGGCCATAAGATTTTTCTTGCTTGCTCCCCGGTCCGTATGTTCCGGGTGAGGGGTCACATTTCCCTGGATTTCCTTTGAACTCAACCCTACATAACTTGGAGAAGACCTCGAAATAGGGTTGCGCTCTCTCACCTTCAGATTACGACAACAGTAAAGAAGTCCTCTGGTAAAAATCCAGAACCTGCGAGTTTTGATGGCGACCGCTTTACCCGCAGGTTGTGGTCTCAGTCGCTCCTTTCGTCTGCGAGTGTGCATGTTCTCGTGTGCAGAGCCGTTCTCCGGGTGCGCCTGGTCCGAACTGCAATCGCGCAAGGAGCTGCGCCGCCTGTTCCTCAACCAGACGACCGCGAAAGTGGAGATGGTGGCCGCCGAACCCAAGAAGAAGCCCTACCACTTGAGGAGGTCCGCCACGAGGACACACAAGGTGACGCAGGAACGGGTGCCCACGTCGAAGCTCAGCGTCACCATGTGCGCCTTCACCCCACACGTGCGCGACTACTGGATCGGCTGCGTCAGCCCCAAAGTGGGAGATTTTATCATCAAGGTAAGAGACTCTCCTTCGATGCGTACGAGCACCCCTAACCTTGTACAGTCAGGAGGGGAACCACTGCTTAGGTAGATGTCACCACCTTCCGAGACCGACTGACCTCCAGGTTCGGCCACCCTGGCACTCACCATGCTTCCCCCTACTCTGACACCGATGTGGCCCGTGTTTTGGACTTAGCCCTAGCGTACCCCGTGAGCACATACGTGACAACCAGAAATTAGCCGGAGGAAGGATAATGGCCGCACTTTGGCAGCCTCCGCTGAGGCCCGCTTGATTGGGTGGATTATTACTTGATACTCACACTTCTACGTTCAAGTACTCGTTCTTGCAGGAGGGAAGGTGTGAGGGGTGGGCGCCGTCCAGGTGCAACGCGTACATGCCTCCACCGCATGCTCCTACCCCAATCGAACCGGACAGAAGCGGGGAAAGGTCACATAGGGTGACACAGGGGGGTGATACGTTCCGTACCATAGCACTAACATAAATAACCTATTCGGGGCTCGAACACTTATGCAACCGAGCTGACTACTCCACTCAAGTCTTAACGACCTCATGGTAGGTGTCCTCCAAGATGTATTGCGCCCAGAGTAAAAAGAAGATTTGCAAGTGTGTGTGTGTGTGTGTGTGTGTGTGTGTGTGTGTGTGTGTGTGTGTGTGTGTGTGCATGGTTTGTGTGTAAGGAAATAAACAAACCTGTAGCTTGTCATGTAACTCTTACAGACTGAATATGACCTCTACCGACATTAGATGATGACTCCTTAATAAAAATGAATGTTGCCGTGTGAGTCAGCATAATGCAGGAACGTATTAATGATACTTTTATTTTCGTAGTGATAATGTTTGGTTTTAATTAATTTATGATGTGAATATGCATAAAGATGTCAAATAATCTCTTCATGTTTTATATTTTTTAAATTAAGTGAATTATGCGTAAGTAACTAAATGGCCTTAAATATAGTTGCAATATGTTTAAAACAGACATTAAAGAGAACAACCTATGATATTGATTTGTAACTTCATATGACACCTGATGTTAGATATTAGAATTGGAGGCGACTTAAGTTACAATGACGATACAAGTCGTTTAAAACGTAGCGGTTTGACCTTTTACTGACTTGCTTAAAACTATCTGAATATTTTCTAAAAACGAACATTTCCTACTCAAATGCTACCAGTCTCAAAAAATGATGTAATTTCCGCAATTTTGCTGCAATTTTTGTTTATATCAACACCTCTCAGTCAACAAGCGCTGACAGCAATAGACGCATGTAGCAATGAACACTGCCAAATATTGATACATTTTATTACCAATTCTTGCTAAAACGCCATTCTTGTCATAACTCTAACTCAAATTTTCGAAAAATTATTCATGACCTTATTTCAAAATTTGTCTGCCAATAACAGATTTCATTAAGAAAAATCTCAAAATTCAATATTTTCTTGTAGGTAGACTCCGAAAAAAATGAATTTTTACAATTTTTGAGAAATTATAGATTTCAACGAAAAAGAGACCTAAATTTTCTTTTTAATTCACTTCTATATTCTTAACTGCAAGTAATTGTTAATTGTAATATAAAGAAGTAACTTATTAAACTAGAAATCTAATCTACGTTAATTACATAATTACAACTAAACGATTACTTTAAATAAGACTAAAATATATTAACTTTAGAAATACAAAAAATAAGTCTACTATTTACATCCATGTGGAATATATTACATTTTTTCATAAGAAAAAACTCTTCTACGAATACCACCCGACAATATGGTGTGAATTTTACGACATATTGCGACGTTCCTAAGGTTTAATTGCAACTTGATAACCAGTGAGGCTTCACTTATTGCGCACCCAACATTCAGCGATGTAAATATAGTATGAAAGAAAAATTAAAACAATTGTGTACGGTAATTATATTGTCATTAAGTAGTTATTTAATTTGTAAGAGAGTTAGTTATTTATGAGGAATTACTTAATACAAACTTTCTCGGTGCCTAGCCTTACAATGTGTTAATATGGCAGTTTGTGAAGTTGTTCCTAGAATTTCATTATTGGACGGCGACATGGATGGGAGAAAAGGAAGCTTTATTTATTTAACGTTAAAGCTCTAAAGTCTCTAAGTTCAATAAATTGGTAAATTCAACATTATTACATTCTACAATGCAAGTATTGTATTATATAAATATTGAAAATATGGATATTCGTAATAATAGCGAGGTCTCGTAAAGATTCATAAGGCGATATACTGGATGGCCTTTAGTTATGGATGTTGAATTTATATATGGAATTATTCTTGAATGTCTATACAATGTGCTGCAAATATTACAATTGGGATATATTCATGTTTGTTTCACTTGTAGTGGTAAAAACCGCTACTGTTTAAATTATCAAAATAATTTAAGGTATGCACCTCAGTCGTTTTGTTTGAATTACCTTTCAAAAACAAAACAAACTTGTCGAGATATCTGAAGGGTGGGTAGAAATTGCAGAACGATAATATTACGAAACCTTTCCCAATAAAGCGAGAAAGAGTATGCCATTTAAGTATCTCTAGTTTACTTTGCGCTTGGTGGCTATCTTGGCTAACCACTACTAGTAGTGACTATAGCAGGCCCAAGAATATGTTTGGGTCTTTAGAAAAAAGTTTGCAGTCTTCTACACTGAAGAGCCAAAAAATTGGTACACCTGCCTAATATCGTGTAGGGCCCCTGCGAGCACGTACAAGTTCCGCAAAACGACGTGGCATGGTCTCGACTAATGTCTGAAGTAGTAGTGGAGGTAATTACCACCATAAATCCGGCAGATCTGTCCATAAATTCGTAAGAGTGCGAGGGGGTGGAGATATCTTCTGAACAGTATGTTGCAAGGCATCCCAAATATGCCCCATAATGTTCATGTCTGGGAATTTTGGTGACAAGTGGAAATGTGTAAATTCAGAAGAGTGTTCCCTGGAGGCCCTCTATAGCAATTCTGAACGTGTGCGTTGTTACGTGTCCGCAATATTTCCTTCCTCTTCCTCGTCCTATGACCTTCCTTGTTCACACCTTTCTTAAACTCACTACCACACTTGTTGGGGGCCCTGTCTGGACCTTGGAACTTATCCCGGCTGTGCCTAGCTGATGAGAGATACCTGATTGGGGAAAACCCCGCAAGCCGACATGTAGGTTGGCGCTGCATCTCGCCCTCCAGCAGGAGAAGATTGCCGCCACCTCCTGCGACAAAACATTCGTCACACTTATAGGGCTAACGGTCTGAGCAGTTAACGCGCCGTATCAATCAATTTATTTTGAAAATATAATCACTTACAAAATTAAAAAAATAAGGAACGCTAAAATTAAGGAATTAATTAAATATTCAGCTTGTAATTAAAGTTAATGGTACCCGCTGTGCTTCGTGAGTTCTCTTGGGAGTCAGGAGCGCTGGAGCGATATGCCCGTTGCCCCGCAATCTCTCCAAGCAACGAGTTAAACATATTACATTGAGTGGCTGACACTATGGTTTCAGTGCTCTTGACGGGCGCTCGCACCAGGAGTCACCATGTTTTTGCAGTAAAAACACGAGAGGTACTATAATATAGTGGTGAGTACAATTGCTGAACTGAATTGACGTGTTGTTTGTATCAGATCTTATTTCTATATCGTTGTCTTTTTTGTTTAACTGTATTTAAATTGTATTAATGGTTATAATTATAATATTAAGAATGCCTTCAATGCGTTTAGGATATAACTGTAAAAATAGACGTTCTCAAACCACAAATATATATTTTGCAACGTTTGCCGCCTTATTTGTGATCTGTTTGTTTGTTTCTTATTGCAATAACGTTCATTTTCAGAGTTATGCTGACTACAATGTCATTCCAACTGTTTCTATTCTTATGACAATAACCGATGAAGGAGGCAACGTGTTTTTAAAGTTTTTCAATTTGTTCTCCTTATTGTGATTTCGTTTCTAAATGATTGTTTTTGGTCGTGAGAACATGGAGTTAGAGGATTTGCTTTACGCGCCCACCCGTCCGTAGTACTAGAACGCTCCGTTTGTTCAGAGGGACCTGCGGAAGTCGCCCGAGCACTTTTAAAGGAGCCGCCAATAGAGGGTTCAAACGCCGCTCAATTGAGGGCGACAGTAGCAGCCACCTCGGCGGCGTGTCGCTCAGCTAAAACACAGCAATGCGCGCCATCGCCCATACACCAGGGCTAGCGAGTGAATCTTTAGCCCCGGCGGGGTATAAAGCGAGCAGAGGGTCAGTCAGCGCCTCGTAGCAGTAGAGCACACCCGAGTGTTATTGTGATCAGTGACTACAAAGCGGCTAAGTGTAACGGACTCTCTCTTCTGGACTGTGAAATCTTGACTACTGCAGTGAATATTGGACATCTTCTTGGTTAAGGCTTTGGCTTAATTTTGCTTTACCGGCTTGATTTTGGCTTTTCCCGGTACATCTTTTGGAACATTGTAGAACTCGCTTGTTAATGGTTTCTGTGTACTTGTGGAAGAACTGTCCGCCTCGACGGTGACTCTTGGCTAAACAACGCAAAGTGCGCCATCGTCCGTACACCAGGGTTGGCGAGCTGACCTTTAGCGCGGCGGAGCATAAAGCGGCGCCTAGCGAGCACAGGAAGAGTCAGCGCCTCCCGGCATTAAAGTGGACTTAAGTATTATTGTGATCACTGGTTACGAAGCGGCTAAGTGTAACGGACTCTCTCTTCTGGGCTGTGAAATCCTGACTAGTGGAGTAAATATTGGGCTTCATCTCGTTAACATCGGTTTTGCTTTTCCCCGGTACATCTTTTGGAACGTTGTAGAACTCGCATGTTAATGGTTACGCTTTACTTGTAGAAGACTGTAATAAATCTGTTTTTTTACGAAAGTACGTTTTTTTGACATACCAGGAGCATCTTTGGATTTTTGGATTTTTAAGGGCAAAAAAATACTTCGTACGCCTTCCTTCGGAGGGGAAGTAAAGCCGGCTGATCCATGTTAGTAGATTTACTTGCATGTAAAAGATCCTCAAGCCTAAATGACGCCTCTGAGCTAAATTCAGAAATCGTCTGTTTCTCGCCCAAGAAATACATCCTTTCTCCACTAGTTGGTGAAAGGAGCGTATCGAAATTTAAGAGGTCAGAGCGGGCCTTATGGCCCGAGTCTCGCCACGTTAAATAAGGCATTGATTCAATTCAATTCAATTCAATCTTCGTGTGCCCGTTTCGCAGGTGGTGACGAAGCCGTCCAAGTGCCGGCCGTTGGCAACACTGCCGTTCGCGCTGCCCCGCGAGTGGCGCGAGTCGCAGTGCACGTGCGGCGGCCGCTTCTACGGCGCCGACGCGCTGGTGCCGTGCCCGCTCATCACGCACGTCAAGGTGCCGTGCACCAACCCGGCCCTGCGCACGGCCGCCAACTGCATGTTCATGAAGACGCTCAACGAGTACGAGATGGAGTTTTGGCAGGAGCATCTGGGTGCGTGCGCCATGCTCTCGGGAATGGGCTTACTACGGGAACAAACGAACGTAATCGAAATGGTAGAATGAGAATTTAAGGATAAAATTGCACGGAATCGCAACCAATTTGTAAGTAAGATTTTGCAAATAGGAAAAATGTAATCGCAATGCTTACTGGCTCGATATTTTTGCTTTCTCGCACCCTATTTACGTTGAACATATAAAGTACTATAAATCGTTGAAAAGCCCGACTATTTTCGACAGCAAAACTCGTATTATGGGTCCTGATACCGAAAACATAAATAAATCTTATTCCAATATGTGGTAAATTTCTTCCACGTTCGAGTAATTTTTCAAAATAATTTGAAAATGTTGTTGCAGGTTCACGTTCTGTAATAATCAACGTTGTTGGATAACTTATACCAAACATTGTTAGTCGACAAGTCTCTGCATTTGTCGGGATATTTGCAGAAGGCTAACGGATAAACCTAATACTTGTGCAAGATTCTCACCAAAATTGATGTTCCGTGATCCATCTGGCTCAGGTTACCACACTTTAAATTAGAAATGAATGTTTTGATTTCCGGGAAAACTTTAAATCAAGAGTCTTCGGAATTTTTTAAATTCCCCAAAAAATGGAAAGAAATTATTGGTTTAATTTTCTCTCTCTTAGAACGATGAGCGCTTATAAAATAACACTGCCTCATTTTCCTTGAATTTTCTGAATTTTCGAAAATAGCAAGATTTCATACTTTTTCAGCGTCTTCTATCAAATACAATGTTGAATGTAAAGTTTTGTTTCCCTTATGAAACCTCTTCTTCAATGTCTAGTACCGTTAAATAAGATCATGAAGCCCTTTTCAAAAACAGTCGTTTTCCTGTAAATTTGCAAAGAATATAGATTATATATAAACAAAATTCTAAAAAATGGCCAGAAAGTTTGACTTTAACTTTTATTCTCTAATAGTTGGCTGATAATGATAGTGCAGGACACATTTTCAATTAACTCTCAATTTTCAAAAATTGCAAAACTACATTATTGACTTTTTTATTTTTTTTACCTAATGAAATGTGTTCGTCAAACCTTTACATAAAGTGGTATTATTTTTTTAAACTATGGGTTGTTACACATAATGTTTCGAATGTTCGAAATTGCAAATTCGAATTTCTCTCACTTCTTCGCTTGAAGAGAGTATTTCAGCAGGTGATGGAAAGTTAAGATGCCTAAAATTTACAAAATATTAATACTTTCCGTTACATAATATTACATACCGTTACACATAAAAAAGTAAAAATTACGTACCTTTCCACATAAAACGATAAAGTATGTGCTACTGTGCCTTGTTTGAATATGTCTAATAGTGGTGTTATAAATAGTGATAAATTCAAGGTTTTCAACTCAAATTTGTACAGAAGTTTAAAAAATCGATAAAATATATTTAGTAACTCTTATATTATTAGGTCGTGATAAGCATTAAATTTTATTTTTTGTAAGAATTGTATATTCCGATAAATGTTGAAATACTAAATAAATTCAAAACAATCACTTTTCGCCCCTAAAGCGCTACAATTGGTAATGAGTTTTACAAGTAATGGCTGAGATGTGTTAACACGATGAGCAATTGTAATATATATCTTTGCACACTTATTTCAAATATGAAAACAATAGCTTTTTTTGATTAGCTGTAGCTTGCTTGGTTTAAAAAAAAGTTTTATACAAAAGTTGTAGGAAATTCGATTTTCTTCAAAATTGATTGAATATTTTTTCTACAAGACTTAAGGTTAAAGAACGCCCGGAAAATACCGAAAAAAGAAAAAAAACATTTCCTTGATCGTCCCGGAATTAGCGCATGGTCTGGCAGGTCCAATACTTGAAGTTTTAATTGGTACTTGGGTACATACAATAGCCTCTTATCGCCTTCTGTAACGATGTACCAAGACTCTTCCACCAGCGGGTGCTGAATAAATTATAATGTGTGTGGAATAACTGTGTGTTTGAGCAACCTAACTCACTCATTTTACCAAATACTCAACTGTAGCTTTATAAAATTCCAAAGTTTACTTGAAGTTAATGTTAAAGAGTGTTACGAAAGTTAATCATATATAACTGAGATAATATTAAAAAAAATAATGATTGATTAAAATCCAATGTTGCAGAATCTTCCGTTGGTTTGCGGCTGATGCAACTGGAGCTGGTCAAAGATGAACATATCACCGACGAGTATGCTCATATATTTAACACCAATGTGGTCTACTCCGTCGAAATACTTAAAAATGATTATTTAACTGCGCCAGTTCAGCTTCATATTCCTGGTGAGTGCAAATTGTATTTTTGTATTTTTTATATTTTTAACTTCTTAGATAAAAAAACAAACATCTGCACATAGGGACGCCATTATTATTTATCGACACCGATGTTGAAATAAGATTTTTGATTATTTAGATTTAATGCAAAGTAGAACTTTGTTATTACATTCCCGAATATTATTATTAATTAAAGAAAAAGTGTTGTAATGCTGAAAAACATGAGCCAAAAGAAAAAAAGAGCTAAAACAGTGGGCGAACAAAGAGAATTTCTTTGTAAGTTTCCTTTTTTAATGATTTCAGAGACTGATAGTTTGTCATATCTTTCTGAAACATCAATTCCATTGCTCCTTTTCTCTTTGGAGAATAACGATTGTGATGATTCTCAGCACCTAAGGTTCTTTGGCATCGTATGAAATTAATATTTTGATCAATGTAGAATGATTATAAAATTCTAGAAGTATTAAAGAACAGGAGAAACATGCTGACACCGAACCATCCTGGTACGAACCCATCAGGTTCTCCTTAAAACCCAAATGGATCAAACACACGGATGGTGCAACATGGTGCAACTGAAGCAGCAAACGGCAAACCGACTTATCGTCTCAGAGTAAACGGCCGTGGGCGTTGCAGACGTGCTCTCGGGCGACCACGTGCCGCTGCTGCTGCACGTGAACAACGCCACGTCCAGCTTCATGCAGTGGCGCCTGCAGCTGAGCTCCGCCGACGGGCGCGAGCTGCGCACGTACACCCTGCAGGCGGTGCTGCCGCTGGGCGAGGAGGAGGCGCTGGAGGCGCAGAGCAGCGTCGAGGCGATCCCCGGGTCCTTCCGCACACGCTCCCAACTCTACAGCGTGCGTACCTCCCGGCTCCCTCTTCCCGCGGCGCTCGGCCGAGTCCGCGCCCGCTCCAAGGCAGACGTACTTACTCGATACTCTCGTGCCAGGAGCGACGGTTCAACTTCTCGCCTCATTACGCAACCATTCGAAGCTGTACGGTTTGCGTGTCTTTTAACTCGGTTTTCTCATTCCAAACATTACTGCGCAACTGATCGCCTCATTAAGCACGCGATATAAGCACTCCGATGTGCGCATCTTCTCCATTGTTCACCTAAATCCGCAACCGCTCCTATACTTTCATTTGTTTCAACGTGGCTATTAAGGTCACGCACAAAAAATTAGTGAGAGGGTGGGCAGACTCCAATGTCTCTACAGCTTCCACTCACTTTTTTGGGTTTACACCTTCCAATGGAATTCTCTCTTTTTGTGCGTGTTCTTGAGACGCAACGCTAAAAAATGAAGGGTAGCGGCACAGCGCGTGAATTTCAATAAGGCGTTCAATTCAATTTCCTCACTCACTGAGTCTCTTTTATACGGAGTCCTCAATCGCTTACCTTATGCCATAGATGCTCCAAAGCCGCAGCGTGACTACTTTCACACCCGCTCAATCGACTATTTTGGAAGCCGTTCCGAGAACTACAGTGTGCCCGATTCACTTGCCTCCTTCCGAAACCTTAATAACCACTTCAACGTGCTCTTCACTTATCTTCTTACAAAGCTCTTTTGGATGTCTTACATCCTGCCCTAACGAGATCTCACTTTTTCCCCAACTAGATAGCTCGTGTATAGTTAACTGATACCGACATCTGGCGGAAAATGAGAGTCAAATCTTAGGCGTGTCGGGGGACAGCACGCGAGCCCTAATGGTATCTCACTTTTTCCCCAACTAGATAGCTCGTGTATAGTTAACTGAGACCAACATCTGGCGGAAAATGAGAGTCAAATCTCAGGCGTATCAGGGGACAGCACGCGAGGCGCGCCTGTTCGTAAAAGGTCTCCAGACCCGCATCGGTGGTTGGCTTCTAAGGAAGCTTACGTAGAAAACTTGGGTGCAAACCACTGCGTAGGGAAAACATCCCGTACATCAAATAAATTAATCTGGATGTCGTACGTGTTGCATTCAATATCCGTAAGTGTAAGAACAACTTTCAATGATAAAATGATTGCAAAAATACAATTAAATATATGTTTAGTTTCCAATAGTTCAAGATAATTAATATTGTTTAATGAAATGATAGTCGTTCAAAACATTAAAATTTGTACACAACTTTGCATGGTTTTGTGTAAGAAAGGGATACATTTTAATAGGTGTTGAATAAGTGATTGTTATTTTATTGATTTTATTTAACTTTGCTATGCATGTTTTATTTGGGTGTGATTTTTTAAAATGTAAATATTCTACATATTTTTTCTTGCAGGAATTAATAAGACAAAGAATGAAATTGCTTTCTCGGTCGTCCAGAAGATCTTCATACATCCGCCGAAGTAAAAAAAGCGAAAAGAGTATAACTAGTCAAACACTTCAAACAAACAAGACGAGCGAAACTACCCGCACAACTTGTCAAACAAACAAGACGTGCGAAACTGCCCGTACAAGTCAAACCGACCGGTCAAGTCGAGCAAGTAGAACAAGCAAGGCAATTGTGACGAGCCAGACAGACCAAACTCACCGGACACGTTGGAAATGCACAACAAATGGCGCGAGTCGGTCAAGACGATCAAGCCGAGCCCTCCATCCGTCGACGGGTTCGCAGTCGCTCTGTCGTAAGTCGGACTGCTCGTGTGCAAGCCGCCTGTGTCCTCAAAATCGTGCAGGAGAACCAAAAAAGTAATATATCGCTATTAGAAGTCGCAGGGCGCTACAACCAACCATCTCCGCATTCATTTGAACTATCAATCTGAGTGAAGTCTCATCGACGGTTTAGTCATTGTTTCGAAGAACTATGTACTTTTATATTGTTTTATTTAGTTTTAATTTTTACAATGTTTTTATATTTATTGCAATTTGTTATTTTTATATTGTATAATTTTGATAACTGAACGTATTATTGTCAATTATTTCCTAACATGTTTTTTTACAATGAAATAAATTAAAATTTATTTTTGGAAAGTATTCTTCTTTTGGGAGTCATTGTAAATAATTCGTTACACGTGTATTCAATCTATTGAAATGTCTTCATGAATATAGTTTTCATTATTAATGACTATTCTGAATTAGTTTTAATCTAAAAAAATATACCATTCCCATTGATCAATCCTTTATAGAAACCTTCGGAAATATACACTTGTGTCCTTTGTCAATTGCAGTAATTTACAGCTTTATAAAACGTAACCTGCATTGAACCATGAATTATTACTTGGCAATCCTGAGTCTTACCAAAGTTTAAAAATGTGTTCATGTTAAATAAAGTTCTGACTGTACGAGTACTGTTAACCTAGGGAGTAAATTAGCGTACAATAACTAAAGAGGCATCTGAGATAATTTTTTAAGCCCCAACCTAAGGAGAAAATTAATATTTCTATGTATAATACCTACTATTTTTTTCAACGTAATGTACTTCACAAACCTAGATCACCTTGTGGGGTAACGAGCACATCAGTGTTAAGTTTCAAACCAGAATCTACTTCAGTATATATAGACCAATTGCGGATAGTATAAATATTAAATATCCGCGAACTATTAATAACTATCACTAATTAACAATTAATAATCCACGATCTACCCAGATTCGAACTTTAACTCTAAGACATACTTTCGTTCACTTAATACTGTAGTAGTCCACTTAGTAGTAGCACTGAATTTTGGATCTGTCATCTCGGTTCTGCGAAGCGTTCGGAAAGTAATTAAGTCTCTGAGCTGCATTACATATCCCTGTAAGTCGTGCTATTGTAGTCCGTGGGAGCACATTCAGAATCTGCGTGGTTACTTGGTCGTTGGCTGCTGATTTCTTTAGTTTTAGTTTGAAGATCTCTTTACGTGTTTCCGATAGAGATACAAGTTTCATTTTTTGAGGAAAGAGCTACAATTTTTTCAATTAGCCTATTGTGGTTCATAATTTTCAATTTTTTTAAAGTAAATGTCGTTTCGAAATTAATGGCTAACGCCAACACTGTGTCCTTTAGGGCTGTTAGATTATTTGTTATTTTTAATGGGGGTAGTTTATTATCTTCTCTAGTTAACTTTTTAATAGGTATCTAGATTCTCTTGGTATTTGAGTAATGAAATTTTGGATCCCATTAAACCTATGTTCGTGTATAATTGCTTTTATTTATTTATTTTTAGTTTGATTTAGTTTGCGTTTTATATATTAGTGTCGCGTTTTTGGCAAGGTCTTAGTATTATTTTTTCTTCAATTTAATTGATTATAAATACGATGATATAACCTCTTTTTTATTGTTAGTTTTCGGCTTGTTGGCCAATATTATTGCTAACCGTATTGCTTTTGTGAGTTTATTTATTTCTTTATTAATACTTTCAGTTGTTTTTAGATGATCTGGATAAGTATACTCAGTTTACTCTATCGTTTACTAATTATGCAATGAATTCGGGTTTGTAATTTGGATTTTAAGCTTATTATTACAAAGAAATAGTCTGAATCAAAATCTGCTGTAATGAATTGACATAATAGAATATGAACGTTTTTAAATATTAATACGTCTAGAAGTCTGGAATAATTTTTTGGCCATAATGATAAAGAGTGGGTTCTGATGGTGCATATAAGTGTTATTATTTTGTAAGAAATTAACAAGTTTTTCTCCTCTTTTATTTATTCAGCTACAGAATCATTCAATATTTTTACAGTTTAAATCTCCCGCAATTAGCGTTGGTGTATTACTATTTATAATGTTTTTTAGCACCTTTTCTGAGAATGTTTTATATGGTGGTTTATACGCCGATATTATTATCGTGATTCCCTGAACTGAGCTGACATTTATACCAACCTTTTCTGAGTTAACAGAGTATGGTATAATTAATTCATGATGTTGAATGCTTTTTTTATTTTTAATACTACCCCCCAGAAGCCTTTTTCCTGATGCTCTATTCTTCCTGTAGATTTCATACCTTTGGACGTTAAATTTTAAATTACTATGGATATGGTTATCGGTGATGCCTGCTATGTCTATTGCCCATTCTGAAGGAAAAAATAAACTCATTTTCTTTCCCTTCAGCTCGTTTGCATTCCAGTTTTAAAATTTTAAAATTATTTGTTTTTATTTCTATCATTATACAATTTTTGGAATATTTCTTTGCATATATTTTCTATGTGAGGTATAATAGCCGCGATTAGTTGTGTTACTATTTATGTAATTTAGTTTTTAGTTAGGTTTGCATTTTAAGTAACCGTTTCTGAGAAATTTGGTGTGCGTGATCTTTGTGGTAGACGATGGAATTTTGTCCTGTTTAGTGGTCTTGATTCGTCTCGTGTATCTTTTTTAGCATTAAATGATTCATATCGGGTTTCTGTTGCCCATGTGTTTGGTACAGGTTTGATTCTCAGTGAGGGAGAATGAAAATTACCGCGTTTGACTGTTTCTTCGAATGCTCGACAGCCTCGGTAGTTGGTGGTGTGGTTACGTTCGCAGTTACAACAAACAAGGGGTGAACGTTTACTTATTTTGCACTCTGAATAACGGTGATTAACCGGGGATCCAACACTACTAAGTTCTAAATAACAGTTAGCCTGCGTATGCCCTATCCTTTGGGATTTTTTGAATAGCTTTTTTATTTATTTGAGTCTGGAATCTTACAACACAATGATAAAACAGTTTAAGATGTAAAATGTTTTTAGAATTTGTTTCGTCCTTTAATTCTACTGCACACATGTTGATAGGTATTTTATCTTTATTATACAACCTAGACACTTTTACTACAAGTAGAGAATGTCTTTCATTAACACTGAAAATGTGATTATTAGAACGTCCCTAAAGGTATGAAACGGATATTTTTGGTTTCTAGAAATCTTCAAAAAGTTAGATTTATTTTCACTCCATTATTTTCTTATCGGGTCTTCAATCAGGTTTCAATCCATGACTCTCAAAATACAACAATAATAGGCATAACGAAGATACTAAAATAACCACCACCTCCTAATATTGCTAAATTAACAAAAGTAAAAAATAAAATCAGAAAACTTTGAAACAACCTAAAAATCCCAGAACTAAAAGGTAAATAAATTATCTAACAAATATTTTAGATCAAAAAGGAAAAGTGAAAATTGGAAATCAGATAACCCAAATATTTCAAAGGACTACTGCAAGGATGTTTTTTGTCACCTATCCTCTTTAAAATGACGTGTTAATGCGGTGTTAAAGGTATGGAAAAGAAAATGTGCTGTAATGGGAATACCACTTGATGATAATTCAACACTCTATACCCTACAGTTTGCAGATGATCAGGTGCTGATGGCGCAAGAACAAGAATATATGACAAGGAAGATAAAAGAAGATTATGAGAAATGGGGACTAAGCCTTAATCTAGAAAAAACAGTATACTGGACTCTAGGCAGTACACATGACGTATTGACTTTGGAACCTGGAGAAATAATAAGAACAACAGAGGAAATAAAGTACTTGGAAACAACAATAGGAAAACAGAGTTCTTATGGAAAGGAATGAGAAACCCGACTCATTAATAGAAGAAAACTAATGCCCTGAATGCAGTTATCTGCGATCCAAATATACGCAAAAAAACGAATATTAGAATAAATAAATATATTGATTGAGTGTGTTACATTGTATGGAGCGGAAATATGGCAGCTCTCAGAACAACAGAAAAGAAAATTGAGAGCTTTGAAAATGGATATCCTCAGAAGAGCTGCAGATATATCTAGAAGGGAAAGAATTAGGAACGAACAGGTTAAGGAAATAATGAATCTGCAACATGAAATTATAGAGGAAATTGAAAAGAAACAACTCACTTGGTCTGAACATGTACAGCGAATGGACGAGAGAAGTACCCAGAAGATCCCTAGAATGGCAACTAAGTAAAAGGAGAAAACGAGGCAGACCAGAGGTGGGATGGAACGACCGGATAAGAAAGATAATCGGGAAGTGGAAGTTACCTCCTGATTCTTGGAAGAACAGAGAAGACTGGAGAAGAAGATTAGGCGCCGGAAGACCGAAGTAGTAGTTAAGAAAACGGCAAGAACTTTTGCTATTGTATAGTGAGAAGGGCGTTTAAGAGAATGGTGCAGGTCTCGTGTTCATCATACCTCGGTTTTTCTATAATTGCAATGTTTTCGAAGATATCAGCATTCGTAAATAGTGCAATATCGACAGCAACATACTTCAGCAACATCAAAATAATCCCCCGCTAGCAAATTAATGATCACTGCAATGACAACGTTTTCACCTATTCTACATTTCGTGTAAGGAGGGCTACCGCCGCGCTTATTTTGGGTGTCTCTAACTCGCTCATTTCCATTCCTGTCATCGTTCTAACCACTCCGCTGAGACATCTCCGTCTCGACGTAGCATTGAGCGCGGACGCGCCCTTTCCCTCCAGAGGCCGGCGTATGCGCCCTTCGGGAAGGGAGTGCCCCGGCCCTTGTTGCCACCCGCGTCGTCCCACTCTTCCTTCCCTCGACGCACCAGCGCCCCGCCCCCCTCCTCCCCGCGCGCCGCCCGCATGATATACGGCGGACCCGTAATGCTTCCCCGGGTTCCCGAGTCATTTCTCTAATTGAAGCGGAGAGGCCCGGCGGCGGGGGCTGGCGGTAGGCGGCAGTGAGCGACAGGCGGGGGGGGGCGGTAGAAGTAGTGGTGGTGGGAGAGGTGTGGAGGGCGGGGCGGGTGGACAGGGCAGCGGTGGAAAAAGAAGTTATGGGGGTGAGGCCCGGCGGTGTGGCTGCTGTAGGCGACAATGAGCGAGCAGGCGGGCGGCAGTAGCGGTGGCAGGGGTGGGAGAGGCGGGTGG